GCTATCAACTTTGGCCCTCCCTTCTTTCAAAAGGACGCAAATCGTTTCTGCGCGGGAGGGAGCGGAGAGCCGGGACACGCGTGGGGCGGACCCGCCCGGGTCCCCCTCGGGCTTCCCAGCGCTGCTCCTCTTCGAAGCACTTTCTTTAAAAATAAAATAATAATAATTTTGGTTTGGTTTTAGTGTGGAAGGGATGCTGCTTGATACGCACAGCAACCCAGAGCCGGCTCGGGCGAGCGGCAGCCCGGCTGTACCCCCCACAGCAGCTGCTCCTCACCCCTGTCGCGTCCCCCCCGCCCGGGGCACCCCTCCCTCTACAAGCCAGCATCTGCCCCAGGCGCAGGAAAGTTATTTGCTCCGCGGGTTGGGGGCCCCCACTGCTGCCCCCCTCCCCCAGGAGTGGGGCTTTGGGGCTGGAGGGGGGAGCCCCGGGCCGGGGACCGGAGGAGAAGGAGATAAACAAGCGAGGGGGTTGATAGCTGTCATCATCACCATCATCATGGCTTTCATTTGGCTGCCTAATGAGTCAGATCACAGGCAGAGAGAAAAATTGTCAATCGCCCAGGCTCTAATGAATTTTTTTGCAAATTGTAATCAAGCCAGGCCGTCTCAGCTCGCTGATTAATGAGACCCAGGAGGCCCGGCCAGCACCTCAGCTTTTTATTCCATCCCGTCCTCCCTGCACTAAATTAACAGCAACTTGTCTGAGCTTCAAATTAACTCCCAATGATTAATTCTGATGGGGGGGTCTGAAGAATAGCTCGTCCTAATAGGCACTGGCCTCTGATGCTGTTTGAAATTAATACACTTCCCCTTTGGCTGCCGGCTTTAATCCAAGGTTGGGTTTTGACATCACTATATTTGTTGTTACAATAAATTCCTCTTACATCTGCAGATCAAATAATTGCAGTGCTCGGGGAGCACAGCAGAAATGCCGGCCGGCTTCACAGCAGCCCAAAGTCATAGGGGAAGGAAAGCTGCCTGCTCCCCTCTGCCTCACCTCCAGCCTCTCTTAGGAAGCCCCCTGTTTTAAATATATCTATATCTATTTTTAAGCCCCCAGACACTGCTCTTCAGCAGCACCGGGGTGCGTGGCTGTAGGAGGCCACCCCTCTTCGGCGGGGCGAGGAGCGTGCTGCCTCGCTCTTAAATAAGACATCACAGCTTTTAAATCCCCCCAGTCCCCCCTCCCTGCCGGCCTTACCCCCTCACCGCAGTGACCCAGCAAACTCACCGCATGCCAAGGCTGCCGCAGAGACCAGACAAACTCAGCGCATGCCAGGGCAGGTCGGGCAAGGGGCGGTGTGTGTGTGGGAGCCCAGATGTGCCCCCACTTCCTCGGAGGTGGCAGCTCTGCCTTCTACCTTGTTTCTATTTGTATTGACTTAATTGCTTTAATTATTTCAGCTGGGACTGGCCAGGCTCAGCTTTGTGCCTTTTACCTGCCCCTCCTGCCCCCCGGGAATGCGGCTGCCCCTCTGACAAGGACCCCTTTGTGCTGAAGCAGGCAGTGCCAGACACCCCCTCTGTTGGAGTTATCCCCCGTGACGGAGGGGGCCTCCCCACTGAGCATCCCCTAGAGCGAGGCCGACCCCAATATCTGGAGACATGGGCGAGGGGGTCCATACCCCTGCCAGGAATTCACCCCCCACTCCCCTCACAGACTGAGCATCACCCCCATTCCCCAATGGGGGCCAGTTACCCCCTGCAAGAAACACCCAACCCCTCTGGGCTCACTCTCCTACAGGATCGGGCCCACCCTGCACGCTTCCACAGGGCTGTATCAATCTTCATGTGCGAGGAGGAGAGCGATGAGGCCAGTAAGCAGCCGCCAATGCAAATTCCTGCCGTCACCGTCATAAAGCACCCGGCACCCTGACACACAAAAGCAACACCATATGTACGAAGACAACCTGTATGAATTATAAATTGCATCATAAAAATTGATTGCCTATCCCAACCCTTCAGAAACACACCCGACGGGGGGGTAGGGGGGGGAGAAACCCACCCCGCACCCTGAACTGGCTGCCCCACGGCAGAAGGGGATGCTCTGCTGAGCCACCCCGTATCCCTCGTGGGTGCAAGGTCCCTTCCCGTCCCCCTCCCCGCTGCCGCGGGACACTCGCCCGCCCCTTGCTTGCTCTTTTCTCCCTCCCGCTACGCCCGGCCCATACAGAGCCTTAATCTATTTATTTCAAGCCACTTCATCCTCTCTCCCGCTTTTGTCCCAGCCCCAGCCTCTGGCTTTGTGGCAGGACCACTGAGGTTTTAAAAGCCCCTTCCCCTATAGTTTGAGGTCTCCTTGGCTGCCTGAATTACAATGGCTAAAACAGGATTACACTGACCTGATCCTATTAAACTCGCCAATCGATCTGTGCCGCCCTCCCTCTGGCTCGGCAAACTTGCTCGCCCAACTTTCCCCGGGGCTCAGCCTAAAAGGAGAAGTGAGAGGCCGCCTTTCCAAGCAGGCCTGATGGAGGAAGGAGGGATGGAAGTTTTTTTTTTTCAGACCCATGTGGATTTTAAACCTCGGCTTTAGCTCCCAGCACCTCGACACCAAAGAAAAACCTGGCGTCGTCTTGGTCTCATGGGTGCTCTGACTCCCAGCCCCAGCAGGAGATTCAGTCATATAGATAAATCATACAGAAAGGGGTATTTTAGCTATAGGTGAAAAAATTCTTCCTTTTGGTAAGGGCAACCCTGAAGCTGCTTTCTGTGGGGCATGCAGGCACCTGGTCCTCCTTCTGCAAACATCCCGGTGCGGAGAAAACCCCTGGGAAGAAACAGCCTCAGCTGCCAGAGATCCTGGCTGCCATGCGGAGTGTGCCGGACCCAAGTCTGAGTGAGGGCTGCCCACGCTCGAGGTGCCCACAAGCCCCTCTGGTACCTGCTGGGGCTGCGACCCCCAGTGCAGCCATGTGAGCATCTCCCCGCTGGTGCCTGATTTCCCTCTGTGCCCAGAGGACTGCATCGCCGCCGGCGCAGGCAGGGCTGACCCAGCAGCGGGTCCTTCCTCCCTTTCATTTATAAAAGGAGCGGAGGAAGAGGAGCGCAGACACGGCTTAACGACGTTTTCCTCGTCAGCAGGTAAACGGACCTCGAATTGGCGGCGTTATTCCCTGCCAGGGGATGCTCTGCATCGCCTCGGTGCTAGGGCACGCCACCATCTGCGGAGGAACGGGCGCCTGGAATTAATCCCCTGCCGTCCCCTGGGAAAATAATTACAAGGCAGGGGAATA